TTTTTTTTTCATTTGGCTTGCAAAATAACAGTACATTGTATAGAACTAATCTTAACCAAGGATTACCTCACACATAATTCCTTTCTCTGACGTTAGTCCCAGCTACTTGACTCAAGAATTATGATACTTAGCCAAGATTGGACCTACCATCAGTGACTGAACTAAATTTTATTTCCTAAGTTTGATTTGCAGTGTTAATATTTTGTATTTTTCAAGTTCATTGATTGACTAGAATGTGCATATTTGTGACAGGATTAGTTCTTCATAAAACCTGATTGATTATCACTCTGTGCTTTGTGATCTTTCCAATATTTTGAATTAATATTTTGAATCCTACATATTACCACTGAATTTTTTCATTTACTTTAATTCAAGGATTATCTTTGCTTTATTTTACAAGAAAGTAGCCTCTCCTTTCCTTTTCCAAGTTTTTAGTAGTTTCTCAATTCTTTACCATTTCTCCACAAGGATTTCTATAAATTAATCCTGTAGGATACAGTTTTTCTTAGAGTGCACCTATGTGAACATATCAGTGTTTATTTAAATAAATTGTCTTATTTCATTGGTTCCTTTTCTAATTATTGCTTTACTATGTTCTTTAGTAAAGGCAGTCCCAATTCTAACCTTTGAAACTCTGGCCTCTCGGGGTCACCTACTCTTTTATATTAACATTTAATAAAGAGATTGTTTTAGTTCTCTGCAGTGCACAACAAACTATCCCCAAAACTTAGTGGTTTAAAACAATCATTTTATTATTTCTTAAAATTCTGGGGATTAACTGGGGCTCTGCCAGATGATTCTTCTGCTGGTCTCATGCGAGGTCTCTCAGGCAGCTTCAGTCTGTGACAGAAGGGGCTAGAATGACCACAGTGACTTCATTGTGGCCTCTTAATTGGAAGGCTGGGCTCAGCTGGGACACCAGGACAACTGAGCCTCTCTTTGTGCAATCTCTCAGCATGGTCTCTCTAGTAAGTTAGCTGTCATTTTACATAGCAACTCGGGAATTTTTTTTGGAAAGCAAAAGTCCTGGCTTAGTCCCAGAGCCACCTCTGCCACATTCTCTTTTGCATGTGAGAGATGTTACACAGGGCATGCGTACTGGAAGGCCATATCGGGGGCCATCTCTGGAGACTAGCTACTACAGGAATCATGTTTTCCTTTTCTGCCACTAAGACTTCAATTCCTTTCTGCTCCTTTTTCAGTTCCCTGTGTCTCTGGTGGTTTGCCTAAACCTGCAAACATCACCTTCTTATCCATCAACATGAAGAATGTCCTACAATGGAATCCACCAGAGTGTCTTCAAGGAGTTAAAGTTACTTACACTGTCCAGTATTTCATGTAAGTTTCTTCTTTTCCTTTTGGCTAGCTTACACACACAAGACTCTGACTCCTGTGAATTGTGCAAAGATAAACTCTCTGCGGTATTAAATGTGTTTGAAAAAGAGAAAAGTTTTAGATATTTCAGGTTAAGTTTTCTTGATGTTTTGTAAGATTAAATTAGAAAACAGTTTCTTCATGGAGACAGAGGCATTGGGAGGCTCAGGCAAGGCGAGGTTATTTAGACAGAAAAGTTGGTCAAAACATTATTAGGTGGCTGAGCAAACAAGGCAATCCATCATCTCTGAATTTTCTAAGCTGTTTGGAATTACAGGCATCCTTAGAGTCCTTGAAACCACATGCACATTTTGTGCGATCAGCTGTTGCACTTAAAGATAGCAGTGAATAGACATTTCATCTGGCCCTCAAAACTCATTGCAAGCAGGAAAGAATGCAAAACAGGCAGTCAATGTCCATCTTCAGAGAAACAAAGGAAATGGCCACAACCCTAACCACAAACTAGGAACCATCCAAGCCAAATCCTGTGGTATCCGAAGAAAAACAGCTACAGAAACTGAAAGCAAACCTATACCTTCACACCTCCAATCACAGGAAATGATTTCACAAAATAAGTGTCACAGTACCAAGAGCCCACCTAACAATCTGAGAGCATGGAAATCTAAGGATCGCCACCACCAGAAATTAAGGAAATGTCCCCGTGGAGCCCCAGTTGGGTGCCACAGAATGTCACAGATGGAGGAGCTAAAATAGAAATCAGGCACACAGGACATGTCCATTGTGGAGGCCCTGTCACAGCCCAGGGAGAAGCTGGGAGTGAGCCAGGGGCAGGAGGAAAGGGAGGTAGCACTGGCTGGGAGGCAGCCCAGGAAGGCTACAACATCAGCCTCCTGCAGCCCCAAACCTGAGGGCAGGCAGGTTTCCCAGGCAGCAAAGGGAATAATAGATTTGGTGAGAGGGTGTTTAATGGAAACAGAAGTTTAAAATTATGGAGCGCATTGGCCGGATGCAGTGGCTCTCACCTGTAACCCCAGCACCTTAGGAGGCTGAAAATGGTGGATCCCATGAGCTCACAAGTTCAAAACCAACCTGGGAAACATGACAAAACCCCGTCTCTACAAAAAATACAAAAATCAGCCGGTCATGATGGTGCGTGCTTGTAGTCCCATCTACTTGGGAGACTGGGGTGGCAGGATGGCTTGAGCTGGGAGGTGGAGGTTCCAGTGAGCTGAGATCATGCCACTGCTCTCCAGCCTGGGCAATAAAGCCAGGTCTTCTCAAACAAACAAACAAAAATTATGGAGAGCAAAAGCTCATTATCTGAGCCCTATTCTTATGTCCATTTGTGTGTTCAACAAACAGCTGGCCCCATTCAAACAGTAATAGTCCCAAAGGAACTAGCATAGCACCTATTCATAATTACTGGAAGAGGGAAAGAGGAAAAAAGAATACAAGTTTCCAGAAAGCTTTGCTATGGAAGTAAGGAAGAATTAAAACACATAACAGTCCATAATTTTGTTAGAGTGCATAAACAACAGGATCTGTAAAGGTAAAACTCAAAGAAGAGAAAACAGTGAAAGAAGAGATTCAAAGACAACAGGAAGAACATGTCTTTTTAGGAAGTGTGCAGAGCTTAGGAAAATGCTGGAATATAAAAATACTATATCAAGATGAAAAACCTGTTAGAGCTAAGTGATAGTAATGGTTGAACAGGTAATAAAGACTGTTTGGGACTGTGTGTCATAAATGTGTGGTATGTCTAGAAAAAAATTGGTAAAAACAATAGCAAGACACATCCTGGGAAGTTATTGGACTTTAAGATAATTAAATGATTCATGGCCATTTTAGCAAAAGCAGAACTCAAGTTGGGAGAAAGGGAGAATTTCAATCTGGCAACACTCAATAGAATACATTTTCTGAGGAAAAGACAAGTGTGACCTAAGACTCTTACTAAGTTCAGTAGACTGGTGTTTGGAAGTGGGTGGGAACCCAGGAGATCACTTTTCTGAGACCTTCCTGGGGGATGAGGTGGAGCACTAACTAAAGATGACCTCCAGCTAACAGAGAGATAAAGACAAACCCAAAAGAAGAACTTAGTGATGACAAAAAAAGACTGGTAGCATGCATTGAATTTATCTAAATATAGAACTAAGACTAAATAGTGATGGAAATGTAATTGTAGAAGTTTCTTAGAAATAATCTGAATTTAAACAATAATATAAGATGGAAAGGTGGGGGGACTATAAGTGTACTGATTTTCATAGCCAGAAGCCATTCAATGTGATCTAAAATGACAATATTTTATTATTTTAATAATTAACCTCTCAATATTTTTCACAAACCATTTTCTTAATTTAAAAGCTCTTTTAGGAACAAATATCTCTTGTGGTGACAAACATTTGCACTTCTGCAGTTCCTTTAATTTCGCGTCAATTTCTTTTTTCTATCAAAGTTCAAGGCACATTGAATTGACTACTTTTATTAAAACCATATGTATGGTATAATCTAATTTTTGTCCATCTATTCTGCTATCATATCGTCCTTCTGTTTATACAGAAGCAAAATGAGATATCCAGAATCATACACACCAAATGTTCCAGGGTAATGGGTTTTAGGATGATTTGTTTCTCTTTTGATTATACTTTCTGAATTGTTTGATTGTTTGAATTTAAAAACATTACCATATTTTCAAAAAAGAATAAAGTCAGTTTTGTCTTTGAAAAAAAAATTCAGATCACTAAAACCAGTGAAAGACTTCAGCAGCGACTCACAGTGACCTCAAATCTAGAACCTCATTCTCATTTCTAAGGAGTTTCTCAGTAGCCAGTGTTAGAGGAAAGAAACTGCTTTGCAAAGGGAAAAAGACTCACGAGCATGTCCTTGCCTCCTTATCCATTAGGTGGAGCAAAGAGCTTGCTCTGTCCTTTATGTTTTATGTGATTCAGAAAGGGATTTTTAAAAAATAGTCATCACTGCTCTGTGTGAGCAGATCACTTAGATTGTGCAACTTTTAAAAATATGTGTTTAAAAAGAAGCTTGCCATGTTGGTGTTCTTACATGCCTGTGCATGTGAGAGGGACAGGAATATAGGGCAGCATATTTCACTGCCAGAGGGCTCCAAGCTCAGCTCTGAAGTCAGACGGTCCCCAGTTCATAGCCAGGCTATGAACCTAGCTGGGAAGATTGCAGATTATACGTTTATACTTTTGAGTGAAGTTTGTTTCCAAGATGAAAATTTAACAAAAGTTTAAATTCTATCCACCAAAACAATTAATGCAAAAAATAGAATGTAGCACTAAAAACAGAAGTTTTGGCATCAGGGAAGAATGGTTCAAATCCCAGGTATGCATTTTACTAGTCATGTGAATTTGAGTGGATCCCTTAATCTTCCTGAGCCTCAGCTTCCTCATCTGTAAAATGGGATGAAAATAAGAGTACCTACCCCCTAGGGTTATTATGATAATTAGATGAGATAAAGCTTGTAAATCAGAGACCACTGAGGGCCCCACATGGCCGTTTGCCATGTGCGTGTGTCATTACTGGAGTATTTGCTGAGTGATGCTGGTCATCATTCATTTATTTTGCTGAAAATCTTGTAAAGAGCCTTTTCTCCTGCATCAGCATTGTCATGGGAAGCTGCCTTGCCTTTGGCAGAGTGAGGAAGTTTGAGGAGGGAGGAGGGAGGGGTCGCATAGGCAATGGCAATAGTCTTCAAACCACAACTCAAGACTCTTTGATGATTCATGAAATGAATGTTGAGGGACATTATTTTTGATGGAAAGGAATGGAATGGTGTGGAATGGAGTGGAACGAAAAATAACTGAATGCAAGGCCTGTGGTAAAGTTTAAATATTTTCTTGCACAATTTTTGTTTTAATATGTTAGTTTTATATTTTGTGAGCTGAATCAAAATGTAAAATGTATTTTTCCCCCGTGGATCATGGTCAAAAAAAATTGAAAGCCCCTAAGTAACAGTGATCACTTAGATGGAGAAGTTGATCAGTAAGATCTGACTATATTTCTGATGTCTTTTGGTAGGTGTGGTACTTAGGAAATGGGAAACATCTACTTTCAGAAATCTGTTGCCATATGCTGAAAAGAGAAAATATCCTTAAGCTTTGGCAATACATGGACATATCCTCTTTCTCAAGACACACTCTTCCCTTGACCTTTATAATACGTTTTTTTCTCATCCCTCTTTAGTTGCTATTTCCAGGCCTTCTTTCTGTCCAGCCTTTAAATCTTGACGCTCCTGAAATTTTATCCTAGACTTTGTTTTGTCTCCATGGATCATTCATTCATCCTTGTGCCTTCAATGAGCAGTTTGATGATACTGACTCCAAAATCCCTACCTCCCACTCACATGTCTCTCCTGAGACCCATTGCCCGCTGGGCATCTGCACTGGGATATCTGTTACATACTCAGGCTCAAGGCATCAAAAGTGAACATGTTTTCTTTCCCTTCTGCTCTGCCGCCCCATCCATTTCCCAAATCTGCTCTGTCTCAGTGCTCTTTATCGTAGTAAATATCACCACCATTCCACCCATCTGCCCTAGACAGAAAGAGATGGCATCCTTAATACCTTCATTTCCCTAATCTGTCACATGTTTTCTATCACCAAGTCCTGTCTCCTAATATTTCTTGCTTTTGTCCTGTCCTTATTCATCCTACTGCCCCCATCATTGTCCAAGTGACCTACATCTTCCCCTGGACCACTGTAGTGTCCTCTCAGCTGTTCCCTAGGCTGCCACTTGTAACCCATCACCTTTCCCACTCTGCCTCCCCGTCCCTTTCACTGGCTTATCACATGTTACCTGAACTCTACACTTCAGTCTCTCCCACCTGAAAAGGGCTAAAAATATTGCCACCTCCCTATTTGCTATGGGGGTTGTGGTTTTAATAAAGAAAAGAAAAATCAATATGACCACCCTAGTCAATATTATCATCCTCACTATAATTATCAAAAATGCAAATTTCTGTATGCACTCCAGCCTCATGTATTTTCCCTAGAATCACTGATGCTTAGATTTTTATATGCACTGAGAACGTCGAAGTAATTTTTCTTCCAAGAAAAAAAAATGACGAACTGTTCTTCAGACAATCCATCAAACTGACCTTGTGTGCACAGTAGACTAAAAACCTACATAAATAATTACTAGAAGAATTGATCACACAATATGTAAAAATTTCACTGTAGCCAAAGAATAACAATAAAATATATGCGTTCAAAATATACTATCCACATTATAATTCACAGAAAGAAAGGTGATTACAGAAACTCTGACTCATGTTCCTGACAGCTAATGAAAAAAATTGCCCGCAGCAAAAGTGGATTCTTTTTTATCTCGATGACAGGCACCTTTGTTTTTCTGAAGAGAAGGTCGTCAGTTCCATTCAGTTTTATAAAATGACTACATTTTTTATTGTAAAGTATAGAGGGCACCTCATTATTAATTCAGCTTCTTTCTTAGCAGATATGGGCAAAAGAAATGGCTGAATAAATCAGAATGCAGAAATATCAATAGAACCTACTGTGATCTTTCTGCTGAAACTTCTGACTACGAACACCAGTATTATGCCAAAGTTAAGGCCATTTGGGGAACAAACTGTTCCAAATGGGCTGAAAGTGGACGGTTCTATCCTTTTTTAGAAAGTAAGTAATGCCATTATTGCCATGGTCAGTTAAACATGTATTAATATCAGGTTTAACAGTCTCAGCCTCATAGACAGCCTTGCCCAGAGGAAGGTACTCTGCTTGGCTCTATTCTGGACCACTGGATTGAGTGAGCAGTACAAAGTCCTTAACCTTGCTGGCTCTGAGTCTCACCTTTATTGGTTGATTGATTGATTGATTGATTGACTGACTTTGGAAACAGGGCCTCATTATGTTGCCAGGCTGGTCTCAAACTCCTGGGCTCATACTGTCTTCCCACCTCAGCTTCTCAAAGTGTTAGGGTTACAGGCATGGGCCACTGCACCCAGCCTGAGTCTCATCTTTAGAGTGAAAGGTTTAGCCAAGTGGTCTCTAAGATCTCTCCCAGATCCAAAATTGATACTAAATGACAATGATATTAAATTTTGACTTTGTCTTACTACTAAGTGGAAGCTACTTAATGGAAGTTTGTTTGAGGAACAAAATGACTTTATTTAATGTGGGTTTATGGACTATTAATGTCTCCACAAGATTGATTAAAGATTGTCCTGATTATCCAACTATGCTTCTTCTTGTATGAACTTGGTGGTGTGATGATGTAATTTCCAAGTGTAACGCAGAATTAAGGCAACTTCTTCCTGGTATTTACTTTTATAACGTTGCCATCCCCTGACCTATGGCTGACTCAGTCATGAAGGACCCACTCAGGGCTGCCATAATGAGCTCTGCAAGCGCTCTGTAAGTGCGGGAGCCCTTCCGGATCAGAGGCCAGAAAACTACCCTTGGGACAAATCCAGCAACCCCCTTTCTGTTTTTCTGCAGGCAAAGAGTTAAGAGTGGTATTTACGTTTTTAAATAGTTTCTAAAAATCCAAGGAATATTTTGTGACATTGGAAAAGTAAAGGAAATTGAAATATTGATGTCTATTCATAAAGTTGTATTGGGACACAACCCACACTCATTTGTTTACATAGTTACCTTAGACTGCTTTTGCATTACAACAAGAATGGAATAGTGCAACAGAGATCATATGGCCTGCTATGCCTGAAATATTTACTGTCCAGACCTTTAGGATAAAAGTCGCCTGGTCTCTGTTCTAGATCATTCTAATCACATCTCTGATTTTCCACTTATCAAATCATGTTGTCATTTATCACCAACTTTTCAAGTCACATAAATGTTACAGAGTTTTGATTGTATTAACCATCTACTGTTTATGCATGTGACTAAGGAAATAGAACACTTTAATTTGCTGTTCTAACATTGGATCAGGCTTGTGAAATGGTTTCAAGATTTGGCATAACTCAGGCCCACCTTTGTACGTTTTGAGGCGTCTCCTGTAAGAAGGTGTCTTTTAAGGCTGAGTGCAGTGGCTCACACCTGTAATCCCAACACTTTGGGAGGCCGAGGTGGACAGATCACAAGATCAGGAGTTTGAGACCAGCCTGGCCAACATGATGAAACTCCGTCTCTACTAAAAATATAAAAATTAGCTGGGCGTGGTAGTGGGCACCTGTAATCCCAGCTACTTGGGAAACTGAGGCAGAAGTATCACTTGAACCCAGGAGGCAGAGGTTGCAGTGAGCCAAGATTGCACCATTGCACTCCAGCCTGGGTGATAGGGAAAGGACTCCATCTCAAAAAAAAAAAAAAAAGAAAGAAAAAGAAAGTATTTTAGGGCCTCGATCCAAGTAGGATTATATCGTAGCTTTATCTAAGGTAATTTCTCATCTGAACATAATACCCTCTTTCTTCCCACTTTAAGCACAAATTGGCCCACCAGAGGTGGCACTGACTACAGATGAGAAGTCCATTTCTGTTGTTCTAACAGCTCCAGAGAAGTGGAAGAGAAATCCAGAAGACCTTCCTGTTTCCATGCAACAAATATACTCCAATCTGAAGTATAACGTGTCTGTGTCGAATACTAAATCAAATAGAACGGTAAGCCTGAAATGGGATGGGGCATATGTTCATGAACCCCTCTGTAGCTAATGTGGGAACAGACAACCCTGATGCCTTGATTTTCTGCGTGTGAATCTGGGAAGTCATGATATTCAAAAGACAGGCTGCACAAAATACAGTTGAAACCTTTATACAGAAATGTTACAGAACTAACTTCAGATCTTCTTGACAGAAACTCTGTTGACAGGATATGGTGTTGTTATTGGAGTGTAGAGAGATTGTACACTTGACTTTGATGGAGAGCTTTCACTTGCACAGTCTTTCTCCAAGAAGAAAAAATAATGTGAGCAGGACCCAGGACAGTGAATAAGAACGCTATCCGTGTATTGTTTAGAATCCTTCCCAGCACTGGTCCAGTTCCTGACCATGCTCTGCTGCGCTGAAGGAAAAGAGTATATTGAAACTGTTGCTGAAAAAAAAAAAACAGCTTATACTGATAGTAAAGGATTAAATGGTGGCTTGGTCTTTTATTTCCTTCTAGAGTTATTTGTCTGGGGTGGTCCCAGAAATGTCTGGCTCTAACCAGTGTTTGCAATTCCCTATCCTAGTGGTCCCAGTGTGTGACCAACCACACGCTGGTGCTCACCTGGCTGGAGCCAAACACTCTTTACTGCGTCCACGTGGAGTCCTTCGTCCCAGGGCCCCCTCGCCGTGCCCAGCCTTCTGAGAAGCAGTGTGCCAGGACTTTGAAAGGTAAGCTTTTAAAAATCTTTGCTGGTCTAGGAAGGAGACGTGCTAAAACTAGAAGTCGGTATGATGGTTTAGACAAAGTTTTGACATATCTGTGTCTAACAGAAACAGGTTGAGGCAAAGGCAGAAACAACTACCACCAGAAATGCATGGAGCAGCCTGAGGCTCTGCCACTGAGCTTGGCCAGTGTTCAGAAGTGTTCTCACCCCCTCGGAGAACTCAAACGGGTCCAGTGTCCACTGCCAGCAATCTTCCCATGGTCCCTCGTCCACCTGCCTTCTGAAATAACAATGAGGCACTTTCACACATGCCTTGTTTCTTCTTTAAAATCATAATCAGGCTGGGCATGGTGGCCCACACCTGAAATCTCAGCACTTTAGGAGGCCAAGGAGGAAGGATGGCTTGAGCCCCGGAGTTTAAGATCAGCCTGGGCAACATAGTGAGATCTCATCTCTACAAAAAATAAAGTCAACTAGGCATGGTAGTGCATGCCTGTAGTCCTAGCTACTCAGGAGGCTGAGGTGGGAGGATCACCTGAGCCCAGGGGAGGCTGCAGTGAGCCATGGGTGCACCACTGCACTCCAGCTTGGGCAACAGAGTGAGATCTTGTCTCAAAAAATAAAAAATAAAAAATAACCACTCTGATCAATAGAAGTTCTGTGGTCTTCAAGAACATCAGATAATTTTATTGCTAGAAACAAAGTGTTATTCTGAAACCACTGTAAAGGAGAATGTATTTTTTACTTTCCCTGGGGAATACTAATTATAGGTGCTTCCAGTTGTGTTCAAGTGCCACTAATTGTCTGAGTGAGGGTCTGGGATCTGCAAATCAGTGATCACGTCCTTATCCTTACAGTTGCTTCTCTCTGTTTCCTTTTATTTATCTCCTTCTCACATTTTCTACACTGGGCTGCCAGGAAACCGTGGTTAGAGATACCCATTCCTGTGCAGAGACATAGAGTTGTGAGCCTGGCATTCGTTTAATTTTTCCGCCTTCAGAGTGAGAGGAACTTGAATTCAAAACTTGAAAATTCAAAGAAAATAAATCCTAAAGTTTGCCTGCGTCGAAGGACTCGTCATCCATTATTCCTCCACTCTTCTTTTCCAAACAGCTGGGCTAGAGACAGAAGCCCACGACCTCCACCCCACACCTTGGCTGTATCACCAGCCTTGAATAGGAATCCATAACCCCTGCTTTCCTCTTCCCTCACTCCTCCCACCTTTCACGATGAAACTGTCCCAGAGTAAAGAAAGGGAACTTTGTGAGTACATATGAAAAGTGCAAGGCTTTACCCTTGACTCTCTGTCTTTATCATAGCTTATCATAGCTTTTCTTTTACAATGAAGGAGTCTCTACCATATATCAAATGAAACTAAAATGCCAAGCAAAACAAAGCCTATTGAAGAAATCGTATTTGTATTTGGGAGAAGTGCTCTCTTTACTAACACCTTGATCAGTGCCAGCTGCTGGGAATGAATTTCCAGTGGAAATCATTAACACAATTGGAGCAAAAGCAATGAAATGCAGATTGAATTCAAAACTTCTTGGTAAGCAGATGAAGCTCACTTTCTCACTAATATGAAAAAAGTGGCCAAGTGCAGTGGTTCACGCCTATAATACCAGCACTTTGGGAGGCCGAGGCAGGAGGATTACTTGAGCCCAGGAGTTCGAGACCAGTCTGGGCAAC